CCTCGGTGCAAAGGCCTCGCGGAGCTGCGGGGCGGTTGCCTTGGTGCGTGGCGAGTGACCTCTGCGGAGCCGGGGGCCCGTATGCCTGCTGCCGTCCTCTTTTAGTCCACTTTCTGCAGCCTGCAGTAGCCAGTCCTGATTTTTAGACACCAATGTTTAACTAGGCGTAACGAGAAGTTTTGTTTTTAGATGGGATGAATTATGCTTGCAACTTGTGAGCAACACTGTGCTCCCTAATCTGTCACCTTTTGCTCAAAATTTAGGTATTCCTAAAGAGTGCCTTAACCTGAAATATTCCTTGGAGTAGACACTTGAATTTCTCCAAAGGAAAGCTTCAGAGAGGGAAGTTGTCTTTTATACTTCTTGGAGAAGATCCCTAAGCTTTGTTAGTTAATAATAAAAATGATAATATGCATAGTTTGCTCCAGGCGCTTACTCCTAGGAGCCCAAGTGATTTTGCTATGTTCGCATGTGAATAGCTGTTAGTGTTTATACAGCAGTGGTATTAGGCAGTTGTTATGAAACCTGCACATATAAATACCAAGCCACAGCAGAAAAAAAACCTGTTGTCAACACCGTCTTTTCATGGGCCAAATACTCCTCTGGTTCTGTTTGTACCTCCTGAGTAGAAAAAGCTAGTGGGTTAAATCTGGGAGAGTGAATAGATGGAAGAGCTAGAAAGCAATCTCAGTTAAATTAAAGCCATGAATGGATCCTGAAACGCCATGTCTATATTTCTCACAGTAAATCACTGAGTGATGAAGAAAACCTGAAGCTGTTTGGGAAATGCAACAATCCAAATGGCCACGGCCACAACTACAAAGGTAAGGAGTTGACTTCCATGCTTACACATGTAGCCGTGGACAGAGGCTGCTCTCAAGGCAGGCTGGTGTGAATGTGGAATAACCCATGGGAGAGCTGGGCCAGTCATGTGTCTCAGCAGTCTGGTATGGCTTTTAGTGGCTGGTTTGGGGGTTTTTTAGAATTAGAAGGAATCCTCAGCAGCAGGAGGTTGAACCATGGCAGGGATTTGCAAGCTGTTACGTTCAATAGATAATAAATATTTATCTCAGAATGTCTCTTCATTATTCCAATCTATTTGTTTATAATCTGCAAAATCACCATGTTTTGAATGAAGATTTATCTAAGCAAAAGACATGCAATTTAAGCAGCCCATAAACTTTATTTGAATATTGTTTTCATACGTTGTTCTCCTACCATGTATAGCCTATGCACGTAGAATCAGATTTCTCCAGTTACTAGGCTGGCTCCCTGTTTAGCACTGTAGGTGCTAGTATTGTAGGTACCCGGAAACGTCTGCTACAGAGCTACTAGCTTTACCAGGAAAAACAGATTGACAAGTTGCTGGACTGAAGATCTGTCCCTCATTTTAAAGCTGACTTACAGGCACAACAGTTCTTGCTTTCTCATATAAGGGTGTTCCCACTATAAAAAAAATTGCTGGAAAGCTAGGGAGACGTCTCTCAAACTGTTCCTTGCCAGGGCAGGGGGCGGGAGGGAAGAGAGAGAGTGAGAAAAAGAGCACCAAGGGGCTTTTCCACCCCAGAGGAGAATCACAACCAGGCTCAAATCACTCTCTATTTTTGTGAGTCCCACAGTGAGCTTTGATTCCGTTCTCAGCTCCTGGGGTTAGTGGGAAGGAATGCTGAGCTTAAAAGGATGATGTTTCTAACTGTTTGTCTCTTTTGTTGAAAAGACTCCTGGGTTGTAATGACACCTTGCAGTAATTCTAGTTCTTAGTTGGTGGCCACTTCATCCCTTACTTTCCTTCTCCGGTATTCTGTTCTGTCAGAAGGCTTATAAGCTAACCCCTCATCTTATTGTCTCGGGAGATCTGGTGATTGTATGGGCACCTAGGGTGTCTGCATTCTCCAGAAGAATTTGCTGATCAAGAGACTCTGATCTCGAGTGTGCAGGGTGGAGGCTGTCATAGGGAGTAGGTACTTGAGAAGTCATCTGGTCTTCTCTCTGCCTTCAAGGGGCATTTCAGGGGTAGTGGTCTGTTTCTGGGCATCAGACCTTGCAGAATGACTTTTTGACAAGCTGTGACACTGAGTCATTATTCTTTGCGGAGTGGATACCCATTTTATAAAAACAGTCCTGCTTTTACGTGCTAGGAAGCCTGCACCAGTCCTTGTGGATTAGCCATGAATGGGTTGTCTGTCCCAATCAGTAGTGTATTTTGTTGTTAGGGTCATGGTGCCATGGTGTCATTGTGACCTGATATTTTCTTTTTTTCAGTTATAGTCACTGTGCGTGGAGAGGTAAGTGTGATCAACAGCTTTTTCCATTCCTTAGGGTGGCAGGGTAGATAGATGGGTCCCCGTCTTCCATAGTACTGAAGTTGTAGCTCAATTGCTAGGTTTCCCAGGGCATTTGTGGAAACACTGTATACATCACTACAGAAGAAGTTTTTCCATAATCACTGTCCTATTCACCTTGCCTCTAACAAGGATTTGCAGATGACCATATTTAATACAAGGTTTGTAGTTATCCTCTGAGCACATAACAGTCTGCCAGAGCCTTGCTGCAGAATATATAGGCTCTGGTCAGATGTATGGGGCACCTTTGGGTGACTGCTGAGCCACAGGGAGGCTTAGCACTTCCAGTAACTGGTTCTCTGCTGGTTTATCGAAGTATTTTGCTGCAAAAATAAAAGGAAATTCAGCTTTTGCAGTTGTTTTTCACCCTTCATCCTGTAATTTTTCTGTGTATTCTGCAGAGTTGTTTAGATAACACTTTGGTTTTAGTGTTTTCCAAACAACTTTCTGAAGATTCATAGGAGAGGGAGTTTCTATTCAGATCTGAAACTAAAATTCTAAAGTCTCTGCCTTCTGCATTCCCCAAATACGCTGTGAACTACACAACCTGGTTTTGTTCTGGAGCTGTGCCTTCTCCAGGTGTGAGGATGCCCTGAGCTCAGGCTGGTCTCTGTTTTGTCCCTGGTTGTTCAACCCAACAGCTTAATGCCTGTTTTCCTGCTTATGGTCATGCTAGATTGTTGAAGACTGAGTGTTTCAGTGAGTTTTTCTCACTGGTTTTAGCTTTTATGAGAGAGTGGAACAACTGGAGTTGTTTGTGTGCTGTATGTAGCCTTTGGGAACAGCACAGGAATAGAGTTGGAATCCAGTGTGTGAAGGTGAAAAGATATTTTTCTTGTGGCTCAGGTGTCTTGAGCGCACAGATATTCACAGTCTGATTTGTACACACGGAAGCCTTGGTAATAAGGACATGTAGCTAGGCCACTAATCTCCCTTTTGTTTTCCCTGCAGATTGACCCAGTCTCAGGAATGGTTATAAACCTGACAGACCTGAAAGAATATATGCAGGTAATAGTACTATTTTCCTACACATCCCCTGGGAAAATTGATTAGAGCTTAGCAATGTCTAGTAGTAGGGTGGAGGCATGGTGAATTGATGTTAGGAAATAAAGAAGAAATTAAGGAATAATTTAAGACTAAAATGCTTTTAGCACTGTGATGTGAGGCAGTACCACTCCAGGTAGGAAGTTAACAGGTGGATGCAGGGCTCTCATCCTTTTGTGCATACCGTCGCCTTGCTCCAGTCCCATTTGCATGGTAATTTGAACTGCAACTCCACTGACCAACAGGGACAAGGTTGTCACTGTTTTCTCTCTGCAGGAGGCAATCATGAAACCGCTTGACCACAAAAACCTGGATAAAGATGTGCCATACTTTGCTGAGCTTGTGAGGTGGGTGATGGGGACTCCTCGTGGCATTGGTTGCAGGGTTAAGGAACAGTCTTAAGGTCTTAGTCCTACATCTGAAAGAGCACCCTTGATACCTGTGTGTGTAACACACCTGTGACACACATTTGTGCATGTCAGGCGCCGGGTGCCCTGCCTGCCTTCCAGCCCTGCTGCCGTGCAGCCTGCCTCACTGTGCTGGGCTGGGTGCAGGCCTGCTGGGGCAGCTGCTGTCCCACATACCCAGGAAGGCACCGCTTGCTCGCACCTGAGGAACCCTTTGCAAATTGGCACTTGTCACATGAGACTGCTCTGTGGACAGCTTGGGGAGACAGATATGACCTCGTTAGACCTCATTTCATCCACGTTTGCTGGCAATGGTTCAAGCCCCACTTACATTCTGGGTGTCATCATGTGAAAGCCGCCCGCGTGGTTCCCTGTGGCCTTTAGCATCTCCCCCTGCCTATTCTGGGTACAGCCTCAAATATCATTGCTGTCATTCTGAATCTGCTTGTGTTTCATTCTTAGCACCACAGAGAACGTTGCAGTGTTCATCTGGGAAAACCTCAAGAAGCTCCTGCCCATGGGAACTCTTTATAAGGTCAAAGTGTATGAAACGGACCAGAACATTGTTGTTTATAAAGGAGAAGAAACAATCTCTGAGAAGTGAAATGAGCTTAAGCTTAATTGGTCAGAAACCGCTGCATAATCAGATCGGCAGATTACTTCAACCCTGCTCACTGTATTTCCTACACCTAGACATAGGCTATGTATTACATAAGGACAAGTACAGATGTCTCAAGAATTCTTACAGCAATCTAGCAATTCGGGTTTTCACAATTTGTTGATTTGTCTGCTTTTTCTCAAGACATTCCTGTTTTGCAAACCCAAGCCACCAAGCTGATGTGAAATTTTCAATTGTGCCATGTTAAATAAAGCAGCTTTCTAGAGAGGAGATGGCCTGGCAAAATGTATGTCCTGTCCAGTGACAAAAGGCTTTGATTTTTCTCCAATTAAATGTTGGATTAATTTATTATTTTTAATAACGTGGTTGTCTTTGGTGGTGTTTTGGTTCTTGATCAAATAGTGAAACATCCTTGAGAATGATAACTACATGATTCTCTTCTTTTTTTTTTTTTCCCATGTGCTATAGGCTCATTTCTTGTGGATAGCAGGTCTTTGTCTGTGTAAGGAACTGATACAGTGAGCAATATAGCTTACAAAGCATGCTGGGATAACGAGAACAGTATGTTGTTGAGAATCAGCATGGGAAGCTGAAGAAACTGCAAAGTTGAAACATTACAGCCCCAGTGGTGTCAAGAGTGCCCTGATGCATGGGTGAAAGTGGAAGCAGGTGAGAATAAACCCTTAAATAGTGGTTATCCAGCTGGTGTCCCAAAGATGCCACTCTTCTGAAGGTTTGCTGAGAGAACACTTTTCATCTTAGAAAATTCTGGTAGATTTTGTCTCATTGTAGTACTCACTTCTTAGATACCCTGTGGTGCTATGTCAGCTCAGGGCAAGTACGGATATATAGACATAATCCTCACCTGGCTGAGGAGTCATCCCTGCTGCAGGAGACTTTCCATTCTGCATCTGATAGTGGACAGCCAAAATAGTAGGGGAGGACCTGTGATACCTGGAGTCTATATCCACTGGAGCCCCCTGGAAAGCTTGTTGGCACAAGCAGCTGGATCAAGCATGTTATTCTTAATGAGTTCTGTAGGGACAGGATCAAACTCTCTCATCTTTCTGGAGAAAGCAGTCAGCTCACGTTGCTGCTGTGATGATCAATAGCTACACGGTATTTTCCTCATCAGAATCCCATGTTGGGAAGGCCTTGTAGACAAAAGAAGCACTTGGTATGCGTCAGTCATCAGGGCTTCAGGTTCCTCCTGTCACTTGCAGATTAGGAGATGCAACACCGTTCAGCATAGGTTGTTACAAAAGGATGAGGCTGTGAGATAAGTATAAATGAACACTAACCAAATTATTCTGAAGCTTCCCAAAATTGCAGGCATAACGTGAAAGCTAAGTGCTGAAAGAGGAATGCATGTAAAACCAGTTAGGGAACAGTTACTGTAGCAACATCCTGAAGAGTAATTTGGTATGGCTGTGAAGAATAACTTAATGCATAGAATTAAAAAAGTTATATCCAGGGTAATAATTCCCTTGCTTTACATGGAAATTATGCATCTGAATAATGGTAGCAAACAGCACCGTTTAGAAAGGTTTAATGAAGGTTGCCTAATAGTTAACCTTGGCCTGACTCTACTACAGGCTGAGGGTAAAGTATCCTTCTGTAGCTACCAGTTCTACTAGAAAGCAGTTTTTACAGTTAGAATCATAGAATCACTTTGGTTGGAAAAGACCTTTGAGATCATCGAGTCCAACCTTTAACCTAACTGTGCCATCCCACCACTAAACCCTGTCCCCAAGCACCTCATCTATCCTTCTGCTATATACCTCCAGGGATGGGGACTCGACCACCTCCCTGGGCAGCCCATTCCAGAGCCTGACAACCCTTTCTGTGAAGTTTTTCCTAATGTCTAGCCTAAACATGTCCTGGCACAACTTCAAACCATTCCCCCTCATCCTATTGTCCGTTACCAGGGAGAAGCGGCCGACCCCCACCTCGCTACAGCCTCCTTTCAGTTCCTCCTTTTTCAGTTCCAACAAATGCTTTGACTGCTTTCTTTTAAACTATGTCTGCTTTATATGAGGACAATTCTGTGCTGTCTCCTGCCTTCATCCATCTTTGCTCAAAGTTCCTGGATGAGCAGAATAGGGAATAGTAGGAAAAGGCTGGAAATAAGGGATATTCCAACCTTTCTTCTTTGGCAGAGCAAAACCTCTGCCATGGAAGCTCCAACACTGTGGTTTGTTTCCCCTGCTGAAGTTAGTACTCTGGTGAGTAAGTGGCTGAAGGTTTATTCCAGTGTCACGCAAGTAGGGAGTGCTCAGTGCATCAGATGAAGGAGACACACTGTTGCACCTTCTTCCCCCTTTTTCCCCAATCAGATGTGAAACCAATCAGCTCTTTTCAGTGTGGACTCTGGCTGGGCATGTTTTGCAGCTCATCTGAATGCTCCCGGTGGTTTGTAGTTCACTAGTGTGCGAGGTCATTCTGGTTTGCTAAAATGATGTAAATCATGCTGGGTGGTCGCTGATGATGATGATGATTCACAAAGTGTTTGCTGTTTTCCGTGAGTCATGGAGACTAAAGCATGTCATGTGGTGTCTTTATCAGAAGAGTAATTTAGCTGTTGACATTGTTGACAAGAAACAAGCAAACAATTGGTTACATCTACCTAGCACAGCCCGTTGCTATTATTAGCATGAAGTCAGATGCTGGGCCAGAAAAAACTAGCTCAAATTCCTCATCCTTTACTGCAGTGCAGCATAGCCCTGACAAAGTCCCACAATAGCTTGGGCGTTTATATTTATTGCTGTGTTGTGTGTTGGAGATGTATTCATATCCTTTATTCTGATCTCTCCGGTTTAAGTGTCAGCAGATCTGGGGAGATGGAAATAAATTGGTTGACTGGGTAGTTGCTTGGATGGAGGGGGTGGGCAGTATCGGAGCTGGAATTGTAATTGCCTACCTCCCAAGAAATTACAGTGTATTCTGTCCCTTCTCCTGCTTAGAGGGGTCTTGATCTTTGCAGGTGCGTGTGAGCTGCATGTAGGGAAGTCTCTGTAGGAATCAGCCTCCAAATTCACAGGTTAGGAAGGGAGGGAATAAGGAAATAATTAACTCACATAATTAAACATTAAGCATTTCTGTGCTGTGACTTAGTTACTGAGTAATGGAATTGTTTGAAGGAGAACTGTTCAGATGATGGTGGGGTCCAAGACAGCAATTAAAAGGTCAAAGCTGATCCCAGGAGAGCTACTGTAGGAGCAAGACTTCCAGCCTTAGTGCACATAAATGTAAATAGCAGTATAATGACACCAAGACCAGAAAAGTGCTGTGTTTAGTAGGAACTGAGGGGGAAGACCCAGTTCTGCCTCCCTGTCACATGGAGAGGTAAATCATTAGGTTATATTGAAGAGGAGTAGTGCCAGGGCAGGGACTGAGTGAATGGGGAGTCTGTGCAAAAAGCTGGCCACGTTGGTTGCTTGCGCTGCGCTTACGCTCACATTGTGCTTCAGGCAATGTGACCATTTGGTTCTGCCAGCTAGAAGCAAAGCAAAGTTTGGGGGTGCCCAATTTCAAAGGAAAGCTGTTTAGCAGCAGCTCTTCTTTTTTATTAATTGTTTCTAGGGAACATTTTCCCATTCTGCCTCGCTGCAAGGAGAAAAAGTCTTCTCTTTTCTGTGGTTGAAACACACTGACCACAGGACGACTGTCAGTTCAGCCCCAGCTTTTGCAGTGTGGATAGTGGGAATTGATCATTTTCCTATGATGCCTGAAATTACGAAACGTCGCAGAGCATAAGGGACACCATTACAAAAGGATCAGCAAAGCGAAAAACAGTGGCTAGGACTGAATCAAGATCTGCCACTCAGTCTTATGTGCCACTCCCTAGGCTTTTATAGCTCATTGTAGCTCCAGCAATGACCGAGTTAATAAATAATCCAGGCATTGCTTCTGATGAGGGACTGTGTGTCGGTCATGGAGCCCACACCAGGAGCTGCTCCTCCAAGTTCAGACAACCGGCAATATCTTATGATTCCTGAGTTGAGGTTTTCCCTGTAGCATGGCTTTGTTGTATGTGTGCACAGTGCCTGGAAGGCAAGAAAGGCTGCAAGGGTGTTCACAGGACCTCTGCCTGCTTTGGTGCCCAAGACTGGCAGTGCCTTGGGAGGGAACGAGAGGTTGAATGAAGCAACAGGGAGCCCCCAACTTTGTTCTGCAAAAAGGTTGGGAAGATCGCTGTGAACAGAGCAGCGGGCTGTTGGGAGAGAAGGAGTTGCTGTCACTAAGAGCTGCTGAGCTGCCGAGAGAGAGGACTCATCCCCGTCTCTGCCCGGAGTTCTCAGCTGAGAGCCAGAGGGCTGACTTGCTGGGTGACATTTTCCTAGCTGCTCACTGCACGTTCCTCATTTTCTGGGGGCCTTGCCTGGGGTGGTTGTTGGGTTACTCCCCGAACGAGTGATGCACTGCCTCCTGCTATATCTATATTAATTAACATATTAATGAGAAGTGAAATCTGTACTCCAAGAAGCTGGGGTGAGCCCCGACCTCCCAGCACCATAGCAGTGCACTTCAACACTGGCTGCTCTTCACTGGCAGCTCTCTGGCGAGTGTTGGAAATGGGCCAGGGAGACAAACTGTCTCATTTCTGTGGACCTTCCTCATGTCAGCCTACCTGGCTGTGCACAAAAGTGTTGTGGCTTTCTCAGAAGCGAAGACAGGCTAGAGAGCTAGAGCGTGAGCTGCCAAGGGGCATTTTCTAGGAGAAAGGGTTGTCTTATATGTGATGATTCATTTGTCTTCTACATGCACCCCCCACAGCTGTAGGACCTTGTTGGTCTCTGCCATGTGTTTCTGCTGCAGAACTCCAGCAAAATGCTTGACATCCTTATACAGATTCTGTGGTGGAGTGGCTCCATGATTGCCTTTGGGGCAAAAAAGGAAGACATAGGCAGATGTCCTGGTGGCAGGGCCAGATAATGTGGCATATTCTTGTCTCTTGGGACATCTAGCTCTGAATCAAAGGAGGATCTTCCTTTGCTTGCACTTCAGGGTTGGAAACTGAGGTGATGCTAGTTCTTTTCTTAGTGTTATTGATGACTACTATGTTTGGCTACTGCATTGGGGTTTTTTGTGTTCTCTAGAGCAGTTTCACATGTTTTAGTCTCAGCAATGCCTTTTGCTCACTGATGTGAGCTTCTTGGGTGTTGCAGGCCCCACCCTTATTTCCCTTCCTTCTAGAGCAAGGAAATTTCCATATGTTGGGCTCAAATTCCTGGTTACAATGCAGTACCCTTTGCACTCCTTTTCCTGGGTATG